ATGTTAACATTTTGAAGTTTTAAGCAATGTACAGACAGACATCTGATTTTATTAATAAGGATATCTCTTTCTTAAATTATTTAATAAGAAATTTAAAACACCTATATATGTCTGACTATAAAAGATTTTTCTACTGAAAATAGAAAATAAACTATTTATTGCCTTTGTTTTTTTTAAGTTTTAGAAATTTTCCTTTATCTTTATTTTGTAGAAGGATTTTCGGAGGACTTTCAGAAGTGCTTTCCGGAAAATTTTCTGCTAAAATAAGAAGAAATAAAAAGTTTTTTCCATTTTTTTCAAAATATTAATAGAATTTTTCTCTTTTTAGAATATTTTTCATTTATTTAATGAGAATTGTGGACGTCCACATGAAAAGGGCCTATATTGTCGGTTCCAGTTTTCGAGATAATCGCAATTTAGTAATTTTGGAGCAAAATTTTAAATTTTTTTTTAATTCTTATTATCAATCTACATGTTTGACAAGTCGAATCATTCGGTTTTCATTAATTTATCGATAATTTAACTGTTTGATTTCATTGGTTCTTTAGAAAAATAAAAAGGGCCCATTTTGTCGGTCATTTGCAAAAGTAATCCGAATTTTAAAAATGGAGGTGTAGAAAAATTTAAAACCTCTTGATTTTTCATCTCTAAGGTGTCCTGGACTGTAAACAATTCTTATCTGAATAACTTCCGAGAAGAACCAGAGATATTGAAGTTAGAATCTTTTCTTTGCAATTTTCGAAATGAAAATTTGGATATTGCGTCAATTTTTTCATAATAGAGACTGTCAAAAAATTTTTAATAAGTGTAATATCTATTCTTTTTCTTCAAATGACACAATAAAATTGTACCTAATCATTAATCTTGTAAAAAAATGGTTTTTTAATAGAAAAATTCTCCTTTTTAGAAAAGGGCCCATATTGTCGGTTTTTCGTATTTTTAAAATTAAGAGGGGGGAATGGTTTTAAGAGTTTAAAACCTATTGGTTTTCAATCTTTTAGGTACCCTAGACTGTAAAAAATTCTTATCTGAATAACTTCCCAAAAGAACCAGAGATATTGATTTTTTTTTTTTGTAATTGTCGAAATAAAAATTTGGATATTGCGTCATTTTTTTCATAATAGAGACTGTCAAAAAATTTTTAATAAGTTTAATATATATTATTTTTCTTCAAATTACACAATAAAATTGTACCTAATCATTAATCTTGTAAAAAATGGTTTTTTAATAGAAAAATTCTCCTTTTTAGAAAAGGGCCCATATTGTCGATTTTTAGTACTTAAGTACGAAATTTTTCAAAATTAAGAGGGGGGATGGTTTTAAAAATTTAAAACCTGTTGGTTTTTTATCTTTAAGGTGCCCTGAACTAGAAACAATTCTTATCTGAATAACTTCCAAGAAGAACCAGAGATACAACAATTAGTTGATATCGCAATCTTCAATTCCGTTTTTCTCGAAATGAGGTTTTTTGCGTTCCAAATTTTGAAATTTCGTAACTTAGCGAATTTTTACCAAAAAAAGTTCTAAGACCACTCAAAATTTTCCAAATTTTGCCAGGAATACGCCCATATAGATAACTCCAATAGTGCCAAAATGGGCCCTTTTCATGTGGACGTTCACATATAGTAAAAAGTATGTCTGACTATAAAAGATTTATCTACTTAATTTATAAATTAAACTGTTTCTCTTGTGTTTTATTTTTCTTCTCTTTTATGATTTTCTATTATTTTCAGTTAGATTTTCCTTTTTTTCTTTCATTTTCCTTTTTTTCTATTTCTTTATATATATATATATATATATATATATATATATATATATATATATATATATATATATATATATATATATATATATTCGTTTCTTCTTAATTCTACTTTTTCTCTTTCTTCTATTTTCTCTTTTTAATTCTCCTTTTTTTATATGTATTTTTCTTCCTTTATTGCATCTTCTGTTCTTCCTACTTTTCTCATTTTACCTTTCTTCTTTTTCACTTTTACTCTTTCTTTCTTTTATACATTTTTCTTGACTTTTTTTTGTCTTTTTAACTTGTATTTTTCTCTATTTTCTTTTCCCCTCCTTTTTCCTTCGGTTTTTCTACCTTTCTTTTTTTAATTTTTTTTTGTATTTTTCTATTTTTGGTTTTTCCATCTCCATTTAGGATGGATGCTTTTTTTCTTTCTTGCTCCTTTCTATCTTCTTCTCTCTACCTTTTCTTTTTTTGTACAACTCTTTTTGTACTCTTTTCTGTACAACTTGATACCGGTCAATGGGTGTGAGTAAGAGCGACTGGTTCAAAGGCGGAGAAAATAGAGGGGAGTGCGTGAAACAAATATTCGCCCTAACGTGAATGTGGTCGTTGGCGTTGGTCTTTGGCCATCCACAGGGTAGGTTTCGTTGGAGGACTAGTTCGGTTCAGAAGGTCGCCTTACGGGCCTTAAGTCACTTCACTAGTCCCCTGAAGAGTCGATCCTTGGGACGACGTTGAGTGACGTCACCTGGTCGTCCGGAGGGTGGCGGCGGCGTGCACTCACCTGAGGGAAACTGGGTCGGACTCGGAAGGTCCCGGTTATGGGCCTTAGGTCGTCCTTGCCAGCACCTTCTGCAGGAGTCAGTGCACGCGAGCCAGTGACCTGAGCGTTGTCCAGGTAGCGGTTGTAGCCCCGTTCTGCTTCAATCCGGGTGACAGGAACGTCTTGATTTATGTTTTGAACCAAAATATTCTTTCCGTTAAAAGATTGACAATTTATCCTGAAAAGGACTAATTGTCAATGTAGAATTTGTTGTTGTTCGTCCTGAAAAGGACAGGTTGTTGGAGATGGTGAGGTTCCGCGGCCAGCGGAACAGAGAAGATACGTCGTTTCCAAATAAAATATTTATTTCCCAAATATTTTTCCCTGAGGTGGATGGCAGGCGAGGCGTCGGTGTTGAAGTGGCGGCTGAGAGCGTCACTTGGCAGAGTGACAGTTTGGCGAGAGAGCGTGGCGTCAGCGACGCCGCATAGGCGTCGGTGTCTCTCGGCTTGAGAGACGTGTTACTTCGTCGAAGACTGGCGAGGTAAGAGAGCGAGTCAGGGAAAATGCGCGGTATTTATTCTCCTCTGCTGAGTCGCATCCGCGACATCCCTTCCACCTTGGCAAGAGCCAATCAGCGCGTGAGTTGCCCCCACCCGTTCCGCGCAAGCGCGGTACGGTTGAGGTTTCGAGAGCGAGAGTTAGTCGAGCGGGAGACACAGGGCGAGTCAGACGTGTCACCAGATTCTCTCCTAAAGGCGTTGCACCGTGCCACTTTGCCTTTTACCGTCAACGTTGTACCGTACCTCCGGTACAAAAAAAATCTAACTTAAGGCTAAACAAAATTTAATGAATTTACTTTTATAATATTCTTTAATGTTATATTCGGTATTCTATCTAATATATTGTAAAAATATATTAGACAGAATTATAATATACATTAAACGATATTATGTGGAATAAGAAACAAAATTAGTTATTTCCTCACGCACAAGAAGTGAGTGAAAAAATTACACTTTAAAGGAATTTCAAAGTTTATTAATATTTGATTAATTTTGCAATGAATTGCAAAATTGTCTCAAATATTAAAACTTGAAAATTAACCAACTATAACAAACTTTTTTCGATTTTTCTTTTGGTCTACTCTCTTTCTTCCTTCTTTATTTTTTTCTATTTTTCCAGCAAAAAAAGAAAAAAAATGATCGAAGGAGTTTTATTTATTTCTTTACATTATTAATAAGAATAATAATTTAACATTAACAGAAATTTGCATTATTTAGAAAAAAAGAAGAAATAAAATAAGATCTTCATTTCCTCTTCTTTATTTATTTTATTGTCGATAAATAATTTTAAATAAATAAATAAATTTCTTCTTTCTGTTTCATTTCTTTGTATTTTTCTCTTTTTCCGAGAAACGCCCCCTCTTTTTCGCTCTCTGAAAGGGGGAAAGAGAAATATTTCTCTACGTAGTATATAGAAGAAACAGAATTTCGCTCCGCTGTACTTGACACGAATACTAATTTTCAGACTTCTCAGAAAAACACGAGGAATAATATAATCGACGTTCTTCGGTATCTTCACTTTCTCCGCAAAGAAAGTTTGGAAGCTATAGTGTTTTTTTAGAGAGAGGGGAGGGGCAAATGTCGCATTTTTTCGTGATATTTATTTCCTGCCCACAGGTGAAGAAATCTTTCCTTTGTGTATGAGAAAAAAAATTTCATATGGGAGGTTCTTTTTGTCAAAATTTTTTAGATTTACTGTTTATTATGACTTTTTTCCATTCATAAAATATGATTAATAATATTGATTTTTAAAATTCATATTTTCTTTTGTCGATAAAATCTCGACAAAATCCTTTGGATTTTTATTTTAAATTTTTGTTGGCGATTGTTTAAAATATTAATAAAAAGAAAACGAATCTCGAAATCGAAACGTGAATTGAAATTAACAGCAGAAAACTGATTTTGTAAATAAATAAATAAACAAATACACTGTAAAAAAGGGAGTTAAATTTTAACTCCCCAGGGGATTCTATAAAAGTCGCACCCATTGGGGAGTCAATGCCAGGGGAGTTAAATAAAGAGAGTTAAAACTTCACACCCAAATGCTAACTCCCCAAGGAAAAAATAACTCGCGCGGGTGTTGAATGAAGGGAGTTAGAAATTAACTCTCTTTTGGAGTTGATTTTTAACTCGAAAAATTTCACTCCCAACTCTCGAGTCCGTTAACTCCCTAAATGTTTTACAGTGTAAATGAATGAATGAATAAATAAATAAATGAATAAATATTTAAATAAATGAAAAAAAATATTATAAATAAGTGAATAAATAAATATTAAAATAAATAAGTAAATGAATAAATGAATGAATGAATGAGTGAATAAATAAATGCAGTAATTCATTCATAAATTAATTTAAAAAATACAATTAGTCGATAAAAGTTGAAAAAAGAGATGGGAAAAAATATAAAATTGCCTCCGTTATTTTTCAGCTCGAACGAAATTGAAGAGGGTCCTGCTGCCACTTCTCTTGGTATTGAAATTAAAGGCATTGATTATCCTGCCAATTATAATCACGATAATTGGCCTCATTGGAATCAAAGGTCTGGGAGCAGGTCTGATGGCCCTTTTATTATCAGGTGCAGTTGCATTGAAAGCACTACTCACACCACCACCACCTTTGTCCACTAGGATCAGTTATGGAATAGTGAAACCCCATGACATCTATCACGATCATTGGCACAGGTCACAAGAAGAAGTCAATCAACCGTATAGAGGATGGTCCCCTGATTATCCGGCCGAGCAATATCCATATCAGGAAGTACCATAAGTGGAAAACTTCAACTGCACTCGTTTTTTTCTCCTCTCTCATCATCTCTCCTTTATTCCTTCCTCGTTTTCCTTGTCACATATCATTTCACTCGTCGAATATAATTATTTATTCTCTTGTATTCTATCATTCTCAATAAATTATTACTCATTTTTTTATAACTTCCGCTCATTATTCATGTTGACATTAATATATGTAATTTACATTTTAGTGTTTACAGTTAGTTGTGACAGTTATTGTGTAATGATTTATTGATTAACATTTTAAACATGAAAAGAATTTTTTTTTGTTTAGGAAAAATGTGTGTCTGACTATAAAGTATAAACAAAGTTTCTACTGAAATTTGAATATAAAAATTATTTTTTTGTGTTTTTTAAAGTATTTAAAATTTACTTAATTTAAATATACAATAATTTTTAATTATTGTTTAGTAAATCAGAAAAAAATTCAAATAATTTTTAAATCATTCAAAATCCAATATTAATTTTGAATTCATCACTCAGTGGTATTGGTCTAATTGACTCGGAGTGATCGATTAAATCATCAGCTTTTTAAAATCTAAATTAAATAAATAATTTTTTTTGTATATTGTATAAATAACAAATTTACCTTTCTTCATCATTTTTAATTGAATTATTACAAAAGTAATAAAAAATGTCTGACTATAGCCGTTTTTGATACTGAAATAAGCACAGCAAACTAATTTTTCCCATCGTTTTTTAAAATATCAAACAAATTCTTTTTTGTTTTTATTTTGAATTTATTTAAACGAAAATCAAATTAAACTTGTCTGACTATAAAAGATTTTTCTACTCCGGTTATACAAATAAAAATTTTCCTCTTGTTTTTCAAATATTTAGAAAACATGTTTTTTTCAAAATGTTTTTAGAATGATTTGGTTTTGATTGAGACACATTTTTTATGAAAAAAATTATTCCAATAATGAATTAATTTAATCTTTTTTGGTGTTAATTTAAGCTCCAACGCTTTTTAACACCTCTTAGTTAACTGTGGCTCAGTAAGGAATAAATAAAAAGAATATGTTTAAATGTAAAAGATTTTTCTATTGAATTAAAAAGAAAAGGGGTTTTTCCATTTCCCACAAAATACTACAAATTTTTTTAATACACTGTAAAAAATTTAGGGAGTTAACGGACGCGAGAGTTGGGAGTGAAATTTTTCGAGTTAAAAATCAACTTCAAAAGGAAGTTAATTTACTAACTCCTTTCATCAACACCCAGAGTTATTTATTCCTTGGGGAGTTAGCATAAGGGTGTAAAGTTTTAACTCTCTTTATCCAACTCCCTTGGCATAAACTCCCCAATGGATGCGACTTTTATAGAATCCCCTGAGGAGTTAAAATTTAACTTCCTTTTTTTACAGTGTATTTTTAATTAATTTTACAAGTAATTATAACAATATGTCTGGCTATACAAGATTCTTCTACTGAAACTTCTAAAAGTAAAGTTTTTTCTATTAGTTTTGAAATATTTTCAGAATTCTTCATTTCTTAATAAACACAATAAGAAATTAATAAGAAAATTCAGTAATTCTCCTTTTTATAATTTTTGGTTTATTTATTAGATGAATAAAAATCCTGTCTTACTATGATATATTTTTCTACTGAAACTTGCGTAAGAAGAAGTTTATACATTTTTTTTAACATTTTAGAATGCTTTCTTGTTTTATTAAGTCTAATTTTTTTTAAGCAAGAAATTATTAATAAAAAATAAAAATATTTCTGACCTTGATAAAAATTTCAACTGAAACTTGTAGAAATACTTTTTTTGATATTACTTTTCAAATATTTTAGATATTTTGTTTTTCTTAAAGTTTCTAATATATCTAATAGGAATGTAAATAATGTCTGAAAATATGTCTGACTATAAAAGATTTTTCTACTTAACTAATATAAAAAAATTATTTACCACTGCTTTCTTAAAGTAATTTCATTTCTTATGTTTTGTATATTTAATACGAAATTAATTATAAATATGTCTGAAGGACACTTAAAGGATTTTTCTACTGAAAACTGTCAAAAAGCTACTTTCCCATTGTTTTTAAAATGTTTTAAATATTTCCATTATTTCTGTATTCTATTATTTCTAATTTTTTTAATTCGTAGTTAGTGAAGAAATATGTCTGACTACAAAAGTTGTGTCTACTGAAATTAATATTGATTTTATCTTATTTTTTAATTAACTATTTTTTTGTTCTTATATTTAAGTACATTTTTCAAGAAATTTTTTCTGAATTAAGTAGATTGTCTGCTTTAAATTTGATCTTATCTACTTAATAATTGCAGTAATGCTAATGATGTTTTTGTTTCTTATTTATTTTACTTATTCTTCTTGTTTTCTTAGTTACTTACTTCTTATTCATTTAGAAATTTTGTTATTTATTTATTTATTTATTGTTTCACTAAGAATATTATTTACTTACCATTGCGGATGAGATATGAAATTAAAAAATTTTCCGAGACCAATAAATATACCCTTATAAGAGTTTTTTCCTTTTTTCAAAATATAGCTCTTGAACTCTCAATAATTCTAAGTAGGTAAAGTCGACTTTGGTTAGACAAACCACATTCGCAACAATTTTTAAGTGGAAAATGTCAGTTTTTGTAAGACATTTCTCTTTAAATTGAACAATTTGCTAAGTAGATGAGCCCTGTTATAGTAGGGCATTCAGATTTGAAATAAGTTTTTCATCTAATTCTGTAATTATAATATTATATATAAATAATTAATTAATTGCACAGAAAAAAATTTATTTAATTCGAATACCCTTTTACTTGTCAATTATCAAGTAAATATTTACTTTAATCAAATAATTTATATTTAAAGCTCACTGTTAACTTAGAAGTACACTTAGAAAAACAATTTTTTAATCCAAAAATAAGAAGTCAACTAAAAAACATGTTTGAATTAAACATAATATTTTCTAATTGATTGAAACGTAATGTATTGAATTAAAATTATTATGTTTAACACAGTTTTTCTAAGGATATTAAATTAAGACAAAAATGAATCAAAAGTGTTAGGAAGCTATTTGAATCAATAATTCTAAAATTGAAAGTAAATACTATTTTTAATGTAATTCTCAAATTTTGCGATTAAAAAAATAAATTCTCATAATTGCAAAAGAAAAAAGCAAAAAAAAATTCTCTCGACTTTAAAAAAATTATGATTCTCCATTAGCAATCGAAAATATTCCTCCAAAAAAGCGACCCTTAATCATTTAGCAAATAATGATAATAATAGTAATAATAATAATGATCATTTCCGAAAGAATTACATTAATTTCACATGTCGATCAGTGAAAAAGGAAGAATAAGAAGAGACGCGATACTTGATGTATATAGTATCACATATGTGACTCGCACACATGTGAGAGGCCGATGACCCATATGTTCGCTCGTGGTTAATGGATTCGGCGAAAAACATAGGAAGAGGGTCACGTTCATGCGAGCGATGGAAATGGAGAGGGAAAAATGAAAAGAGAAATTAGAAGGAGGGGGAGAGAGAGAAGGTGGCAAGTAGGAAATGCTGATGGTAAAAAGAGGTATGAGGTGTAGTGGGAGGCGAGAAATTCTTCTCACTTGGGCAAAGAAGGTTAGTGTGCCATTGTTGGAGGGGGAAGGCTACAATGCTTGCCATTGGCCTTCGTCACTTCCATCTCCATTGCCATCGTCGTTTATCAAGGTTAGTGGGTCATTTCCCTGAATATTGTTCGGTTACTCCCACCACAATCTTGCAGATTCTCATTAGCCATTAGCCTCCTACTTCCCTATCCCACTATCCTCCCGGCTAAGAAGTATAGTGGGGGGAAAAGTAACGGGAACGGTTGTGACTCGAGAGATCAACAGGTGGTGATAAATGGGAGGGGACAGGTTTTAACCGTTTCGTATATAGGATTCGTGCGATAGTTGTTGCTTCGTTCTCGTCACGAGCGTTTCATGATGTTTTGATATGAGAATAAAATCTTTGATTTTTGCTTCTTTTCACTACGTCAATATTTTTTTTTTATCATTTTTTCTGTATTTTCCCTTTTTGAATCAAATTGTGGGAAGAGTCTGGCAAAGTATGGGTAACAGTCAGACTGAATTTTACCAAAATATTTTACTTATCGATTGAATTTTATACATTTTCCGAATTAGGGAAATAAGACTGTCAAAGTATGGGCAAAAACTAGAATCAATTTTTGTTAGTTCTTTTTAATTTCCATTTAAGTTTATTAATTTTCCGAAATATAGGACGAGTCTGTCAAAGTATGGGCAACGGCTAGAATCAATTTTTCGAAATTCTTTACTATTCTATCAAATTTTATTCATATTTCAAATTATGGGAAGAGTTTGGCAAAATATGGTCAACGGTCATAAAAACTATTTGTTAAAAAAATAAAAATTGTCCCAAAAATTGATTTCAGCTGTTATCCATACTTGACCAACCTCTTCCCATACTTCGAGAAAAAAACAAATTTTTTAAGAAAGCTAAAAAATATTCCACAAAAATTAATTTTAGCCATTACTAAATTTGACCAATTTGTTAAAAACAGAATAAATTTTTAAAAGTTTATTCCAGCCGTTGTCCATATACTTTGCCATACTCTTTCCATAAAAAACTGAAAAAATTTGAATAGTTTCCTAAAAAATTGATTTCAGGTTCCAGCCATTGCCCATACTTTGCCAAAGTCTTCCTATATTTCGGAAAAAGTTTTAAAACTTAATAAAAAAGACCCGACTGACGGGCTTCTCAACGTTTAAGCCTAGAAACGACAAATGAAGAAATTTCCAACAGTTTTTGGGTTGGACAACATAACGGTGCCCTAGATAGGCAAATTCAAAGACTGTTATTTTAAATAAATCTAACTTCAGAACATGAAAAACTTTAATACTCCAGTAAGTGAATTAGAATGGTAACTAATTCTTATTACAATAGTTTTTAGACGGGACGACATAACAGAACGCTAGATAGGAAAATTCAAAGACTGTTATTTTGAATAAAACTAACTCCGGAACATGAAAAATGTTAAAACTCTAGTATTTTAATTAAAATGGAATCTAATTCTAATTCCAATAATTTTTAGACGGGACAACATACGCTAGATAGGCAAAGTCGAGGACAGTTATTTTGAATAAAACACTCCGGCACATGAAAAA